GACAGTGAACAATATGAAGCCGGCCCACGCCTGGGATGAAGCTGGATTGAGCGGGATTCGGCCGAAACCAACGAGATGAAGCTGGTTGGAGCGCCATCCTCCTCGTCCTTATCCTCGTCTTTTCCTCGTCCTCCTCCCGCCCACTCCTCCTTTCAATCCTCCCTGCCCTCCGCCAGACTGCCAGAAGCTGAGATGGCCCGCGGTACGTGAAATTCCTCTTTCTTCTGATCGACGTCATCCCTCATCCTCATCATATGTTTCCCCTCCTCACCGAAAGGCCTCCTAGATAGGGTCCGAGAAAATGGGTCTGGGGATCGCGCCACATCGCCGAATCATCGGCGGTGCATCGGCGACGTCGGCGGTGCATCGGCCACGGCGGCATGGAGAAAATCGGGCCAAGCATCGAGCTGCATCGCCCATGCATCGGCGATGTGGCGCGATCCTCCGACCCACCCCATCTACTCTTACCCCATCTGGGAGGCCTAGATCACCCGACAGAGCCGCGAAGGCAAGTACGGCTTACTTCTGGGTCTGCTCCAGTTGACGAAACAGCTCAGATTGATGTTCCCCCTTCACTCTCTGTTCAGCTGCATTCAGGGCGAATCGCATGGCGATGCTTTATGGATGAGCAGGTGGGGGCACGCGAAGCATCAAGGATTTCTGATCGCACGGGGCAGCAATAAGCTGCATGGCGCTCCGTACCAACTGCACCGAGGCAAGCCTGACATAGGCTACGCGGCCCGATTCCTTCAGCGAGCACTCCGACTTGGGCCCAGGGACCTCCACAAAACACCTGACAGACTTGCGTTGGGTGTTTCTGGGTCCGAGAGTTGGTGAGGCGGCGCCGCAAAAAAGCGCGCACAGGTTCAAGAAAAAACCTACGGCCCACCCCCAACTCTTCGTCCCCTTTGACCAGCCAGGCATGTTGGAGTTCGCCATGAATGGGCCGGCCTTGACCATGGGATACAGGTCCCGCAAAGGGCGGCTCCATAAATCGATTACGATTAGGCCTGCGAAAATTGACCACGGCGATCTGGTGCATCAACCTTTGTAGCGCAACTCGAACGCTCATTTTCTGTACGCGCTGGTCAATACCTCTTCCATGCGTGGGCCCTGCTTTGTCTCTTGTCACGCCCGGGCCCCCTCGACGATGGACCCCGCCGTGGCCAGAACTCCAGGGACGAAGAACGCCGATCGTCCAGCACGCGCGTCAGGCATCGTGGCTGCAATGGACTGCCGCAAAGTAGCCAGTCGGGCATCGACGAGTCCCTGCATCTGGAAGCCGTAGAGGATGAAGGGTGCGGCCCCGTGCCTCACGACTATGAGGCGAGTTTCGAGGCGGAAGAGGACGCCTCGCTATTTCTTTTTGGCGGTGATTCGGGTTCCTCTGTTGCGCAGGTGGATCCTGGACTGGTGGCGCCTGCTGCCGCCGCCGTTGCCAGGTGTGAGAGGGTTAATCCTGAGGATTTCGAGCAGGACGATCCTGGCCAGCAGATTTTCGCGTCGGCTGCGTCAGGTTCTGCTCCTACTCCCAGTCCCTCCCCCCAAGCTCCTGGACCGCCTGAGGAGGACAGGCCAGGGCCTATCTTTCGGGGGAGGATTTCAGGCCTTGCGCCACAGGGCGCCAGCGGGCCTTTCTGGCGTGATCTGGACGGCCAGTCTTCACATTCTTTGTCATCGGCTCTCCGACGACTCTGACTGATCGTCCTTTCTATGCCTGACAACTCAAATGCTGCCCTCCCGTGAAGGCATCCCCCGATCCCTCATACCGCGCGAGCTCCCGCGTAGTCGGGCCGCGGGGGGCAGGGTGGGAAGACCTGACGGGGGCCTCCACCCGGTGCTGCTCGACTTGTTCATGCTCGGTTCGCCCGCCAGTCTGTCTGAATGGCTAAGTCATCCGGCGGATGTTTTCCCCTCTGGATGGGCTGGCCGTGGATGCCCAAAAACACCCTGCTGCGTTGACGCGGTGGATGCGCCACAGCTGCGCGCCCCCCGAGCGCCCGCTCGCCGGCGGCCCCTCGCCGTCCCGCCGTCCTGCCGGAGCTGTGCCGCCGGTGTCCTTCCCGTGCCGGACCTGCTGGCTCCCGCAGCGCTCGCACGCGCCCTGCCAGCGTTTCGCCCCCGCGGCTCCGGAGGTGGGGAGAGGGGTACGGTGCAACAGGGGCGTGTGGTGCGAGTTTCATGCAAAGGGGAATCTGGCGCTGTTGTGTATGGCAAATAGCACCGCCTTTTCCACGATCGGCACCATACCCCTTTATGCCACACGCCTTCCCGACCTCCAGAGTGGTGGACGACATGGAGCCTGTGTTGTTCCCGGCGCCGTGCGATACCGCCATGTCAAGCTCGTTCTCCAAAACGTGCGCGACAGTCTTGATGGCCGCGGCTTGATGGGACCTTGCAAACTCCCGCGGCCCGTGAGTACCAAGGGCGATGCCGCCGAAGAACAACCAGACCTCCGCCCAGAAGAAAGCTCGGACCATCGCACATGGGTGCGAACATGCTGCCCGCGATGATGCTTCTGATCCAGAGCTCACCCAAAGTGTAGGCGGTGTCAATAACCACCTTGCTCACATTGACATCAGCTCTCAAGATGGCGGGGAGGATCCTCGTGCCGAAACACAATCTGAGGCCCGCAATCCAGTTGAGATGTAGACGCACGTGCTCGAAGATATTGGCCAGATCGGAGTCGGTGACCGAGCAGGCGTTCCCTTCAGCGGTGACCGACTGGCAATGCAAGGCCTGAACCCAAGCGGCTCGCTCACTCCAGCACCCCTTGCAGGCCCAATCATAGGCCCGCCGCTTCCGCTCCTCCCAAGCCCGCGCCAGAGGCTTGCACACTCGTTCGGAAACACGGCCGATCCCTGGAGTCAAGCCGAGGTTCCAAAAGCCGCCAGCTGTTTTGGCGAAGACCCAACCATATGCAGGTGTGAGTGCCGCAGGGGTGTGACAAAATAGGCCCGAGGCCGTCATGCGATCGTTGCCATTGTGGCACCCGTTGGAGCTCCGCATGGGGCCACGAACCGTATGAGGAGTGTGCCGAAACAGTTGGAAGGTCGCCATGCGGCCGTTGTCATTAAGAAATGTGAGGGGAGCGGGGAGGAGGAGCGGGAGGGGAGAGGGGGAGGAATTTGACGCGCGACGCGTGGCGCTGCGGGTCCAGAGCGATGACACAACTCGACACATTGCGAGTCCACGGGCGCCATGCGGTCCAAGACAGTCAGACGCCGGTTAGCAAGCGGTGGAGTGCACCTGGAACGACTTGAGGCACGAAGGCGAGGACACAACTCAACACGGGAGGGCCGGGGAAGAAACACCATATGTGCTCTGCCAAGTGGGTCGCAGCGCGCCCGCCTCGACGGCTCTGAACACGCCAGCGCCACGAGGCCAGGGCGCACTGCCATGAGCCAGGACTCGAGGCGCCGGCCGGCCTCTCCGAGGCCCGCGCTGGCGCCCGAGGACTGGCACGCCTCCCGCGCATGCTGCCTGGCGCTGTCGAGCGGCCTTGCCTCGCCGTCCACGGGGAACGCTTCGCAGGGTTGGCCTGCCTCGCACCTGTGCTTCCCGACGCCCCTGCCAACCTCCGAGCTCCGCGCGGGCGGCCTGCTGCGGGCGCCAGGGCCGTGAGCCAGAGCTCGGGGCGCCTGCCGGCCTCCCCGAGGACCTGCACGCATCCCCGCGCATGCTGCCAGGCGATGTTGGGCGGCCACGCCTCGCCGTCCACGGTCGGCATCTCCAGAACGTGTGGTTTGCAGCCGGCACCCGGGGGGGCACCCGAAGGGGGCGGGCGGGGGCCTCGACGGAGCTCTCCGCCGCGCCCTGAGGAGACCCTACAAGGACGGTGTCGGCCCCAACGGCGCCGATCGCGAACCACAACCTGGCGTAACCGCATCCATTGTAGTCGCCGACGCCAGGAAGCTTTCCCACTGAAAACCAAAAGTCCACCCTCAAAACAAGCATCCCGACAAGCGAAGCCATGTGGTGAACGCATCCAGGCAAGGAACCGAGCAGGGCAGGGCAGCACAGCAAACGCCCGGGGCCGTTTCGCAAACGTCCGAGATCGGGGTCGGGGTGGCTACTCCCCCTTCGATCCCAGGTCTGGCCTGGCTCGCACTTGTCCTTCCATGCGGTCCTGGAGGAGGAGGAAGAGGAGGAGGATGAGCAGGAGAAAAAGGGGGAAGAAGAGGCAGTAGAAGGAGGAGGATGAGAAGGAGGAGGAGGAGCAGGAGGAGGAGGAGGAAGAGGCGAGGGGAAGGCAGAGGAGGATAAGGAGGAGGAGGAAGAGGAGGAGGAGGAGGGAAGGGGGGGAGGAAGAGGCAGGAAGAGGAGGAGGAGGAGGAGGAGGAAGCTGCGAGGGGGAGGCAGAGGAGGATAAGGAGGATGAGGAGGAGGAGGAAGAGGAGGAGGAGGAGGACGAGATGGAGGACGAGGCGAAGGGAGGGGGAGAAGGAGGGCGGAGGAGGAGGAGGAGGAGGAGGAGGAGGAGGAGGAGGAGAAGGAGGAGGAGGAGGAGGAGGAAAAGGAGGATGAGGAAGAGGAGGCCAAGGGGAGGAGGAGGAGGCTAACGAGCAGGAGGAGGAGGAGGAGGAGGAGGAGGAGGAGGAGGAAGAGGAGGAGGAGGAGGAGGAGCTTCGCGCGGGGGGGCCTGCTGCGGGCGGGCGTGCTCGTGGACGGCGGCTGGGGCCCGCTCTGGGCCCGGCTGGGCGGGTGCCCCGGGGAGTGGGCGGGCCCCCGGTGCCGCGCTCCCCTGGCGCCGCGCGCCTGGAAGCCTTCTGCTTCCGCTCGGAGGGATGGCGAGGAGGATCTCGCACTGCAGGGAGAGCGTCGCGCCGAGCGCCAGGGGATGGCGAGGAGGGGGAGGAGACCAACGTGAGACAGAGGTTCGTATGGCGAGGAGGAGGAGGAGGAGGAGGAGGAGAAGGAGAAGGGGAAGGGGAAGGAGAAGGAGGAGAAAGGCGGGAATGCTCGATTCTTCCTTCTTTTCCTCGGCCCCGGGGCGCAACCAGGCGCACAGGTTGTACCAGATGTCGATAGCTGGGCCAGTGACGCAGTGCCCGCAGCAGAAGATCCTGCTCTTGGCGCCGAGCCTCGGCCACACCTCCGGCCGAGCGCGCAAGAGTCAGAGGGGGGGAGTGGGGGGGAGGAGGCGGGGGGGCAGCCCTCCATCCGACCGGTGTCGCGCCTCGGCGCCCAGGGCCGGAGAGGCGGCTGGCCCAGGTTGCACAACTTAGCGCCTCAGGGCCCAGGCGCTTCGCCCATTAGCGCTTGCTTCAGCGCTCGGGGGGGGGGGGGGCAGGCCACCGACCTTGCGACCTGCGGAGCGCGAGCACCTCCGCGCCATCGTGCAGGCCACCGTGAGAGAAGGCCTCTCGCCGATCCAGGCCACGACTCGCGAGCCCCGCGGCCACCCTCGCGCCCCTGCGGCTGACCTGGGGAACATGGGTGGGCGGGCGGGAGGGAGGGGGGCGAACGCATCAAGGGGCATGATCACGCAGCGAGGAGGTTCAGGCGGAGGGGGGAAAGAGGGAGCAATGGAGGATGTCATTTCGATGATCCGGAGAAGGAGGAGAAGGGGGAGAGGGACGAGGAGGAGGAGGATTACCAAGCTCGCTATAGGCTGTAAGGGTACCTAAACCATCTCTGAGGATTCAGCCGCCGTCGGAGAAAAAATGGTGCCTGCGAACTTGCACAGGAGGAGGAGGAGGAGGGAGAGGAGGAGGAGGGAGAGGAGGAGGAGGGAGACGAGGAGGAGGAGGAGGAGCGGCCCAGAGTGAAGCCTAGAAGTATACATGCATTGTAGTCTGCGGGCCACTTTTGGGACACCAGGTGTGCGGGGGATCTTCTTTCCTCCCCCTCTGCTTGTTCCCACTGGGTCCCAAACCACCGACTTGACTGGGGAGGGCGAGACACCAAAGAAGATCAAGAGAACCGAAAAAACGCTCCCAAACAACCCAAGGACCCTCCAGAACGGCCCCGAAACCCTCGCTGACGGCTTTGCGATCTCCTGGGGTCCACCGAACACCACGGAAAATACCGGCACTTCGGGGGGGGAATCCGTGATCACCCGCCGGAAGAGGACCCCGAAAGGCCTCTTATACAGCGCATACAAGCTCCCGAAGAGGTACTCCTACGCAACAGATCTCCCTGGTTGTCACACACACAGTATGCAAAACTATTGCGACCATGCACGACACATCACCGGAATGAGCAAACCAACGGGATTTGGGGTTGTGCGCAAATGTGGTGAGTCCGTTGCTGGATGCCGAACTTTGAGTTTAGCATCTGACCATGCCAGCCAACGAACACCCAAACCTTTGATTGAGTGCGGTGTGGAGGTGGCAGCTATGCGGTGCAAGTTGCGTGATGCAAACTATGTCGTGGATGCGATGTGGTGTGATTAATGTATGTTCGCAATGAGTTGTCCATTTTTACTGTTCGCGCAATCATCCCACCCACCCACCTCCAACTTGGTTTGCAAAACGCACGCGGTAGCGATTGCGATGAGTGCTTGGAGTTGGCTGGTCCACTCTGCGGCCGCGCCGACCCAAGAACGCGCGCGCAGCGGCCAGCTATTTTGGCGCGACCGACGCGGCCGCGGTAGTGGTGACCGCTGGACACATCCCAGCGGACACTTCAATACGAGTCGGCGGCTTGGGCGGGCGCGGTGTCATGGCAACGTCGACAACGGTAGACACGATGATAATAGTAGCGATGCTGGTGACGATGTTGACAACGACGGCGGCCAGTGCGGGCGCCGATGCTGATCAAGCCGACGACGATGACGGCGTCCTCGCGTCGGTGATGAAGGTTTTGGACAGATTTCGACATGTGCGCGCGCGGCGGACGCGCGAGAGTGGTGGTGCCCCCCAGAACGCGCGCAAGGGCGCGCGAATGATCTCGGCATGCGGCGCCAGAGGCCCGTTTGGCAAAATTCCATGCACATGTTGAGCAACCGATGGTTTTCTGAAGAATCTGCAAGAGCGCGAGCGCACGCTTTTTTGAAAACTGACGTTGCGAAACCATTTGTTTTTAAATATGTCTTGGACACTTGGTTTTGAAGTCGTTGCAAAACCAACGGTACTTGACTGATTCTGGCGTGCGCGCGCGACGACGCGAGAGCGAGTGCACTTCGTCACATCGTTTGCCAAGGATTCTCTCGACGGCACGCGCGCAAGGGCGTTCGAACGATTTCAACATGCGCGTGCGCGAAACCAATTTGGTAGCATTTCCTGAAAATGATAAGACACCCATGGTTTTCTTAAGAATTCGCACAATCCTACGCAAGTTGTTTTTTGAGGATCAGTGTTGCGAAACCCTGTGCTACATATGTTTGGGAAACTAGATTTTGAAATCCTTACGGGACCGAGAACTTTCGAAAGATTTCGGCATGCGCGCGCGACCACGCGCGCGTGTGCACTTCGTCGCGTTTTTTGTTCCACGGATTATCGAAAACGGATGATTGTTGATAAACGACTGCTCGCGCATATTTTTTGTTGCAGAAGATGGCGGGGGAGGCGGATATGGGCTCCCCAGGGATGGTGCAAATTCATAGTTAGAACGGACAATGGGGCAGAACCGTATGTAAATTGCCATACGAATCAAGAGACGGATAATGCGGGAGAACCGATTCTCTTCTTAGAAAAAAAAGAAGATATGCCGGGCAAGCCATGTGGTGTGAGCTGGAGGTGAAAGCTACGCGGTGTAGTCTGTGTAACGTACGCGAGGTCGCGCAAGCTAGGTGGCGCAAGCCGTGTGGTGTAAGCTCGGCGCGCGGGGGCGCCCGCGAGCGTCCGCGAAGCTGCGCGGGCGGCAGCGAGGCGCAGCCTCGGCAAGCGCCCCCCAACGCACGGGGCGCCCACGAGGCGCCCACGAGGCGCCCACGAGGCGGCACGGGCGGCAACGTGGCGAAAACCCGGCATGCCCGACCAACTACGGTCTTAAGAGCAACAGGTTCCCTAAGTGCAAGCACTGTCCTGGGCTTCGTTCTCCCATCGTCTCCATGAGGGTCACTGCCAGCCTCATGCTCATGGTCATCTTCAAACCTCCTGCGCGATAACCAGTCGAGACAAACCCCAACAATCTCCTGCTTCGCACCTCTCAAGGGCGGCACAGCATGCAGCATCCAGCTCCCCACTGCAAACGCCCCGGGCTAAGATTTTCCAGACTATGTCGCGGTGCTCCCTAGAACTGTTGATGGCAAGCACTGTCTCTTGTGGCAAATGTCCGCAAACGTGTCCCAGGCATGTGATGCAAGGCCCTCAGGTCCTCGCTGGTCCTCGGTGCGACGACATCGAAGGAGTCTGAATATGCTGAAACGCCACCGAACCATGATTTCTGGCGGCTTCCTGAGGCGCTTGCAGGCTCATGGGGGCCCCCCGCGTGACGCTTCGAGAGGCCTCTGGACCGAGGTCGGGAATCAAAACATCCAACATGCCCCAGGATGGTCTCCAGGACTTGTCTTGGGAGCCTCCTGGAGGTCTCCTGGCTTGCTGGCCCCGGAGCCTTGAGCAGGAAACCGAATTTGTAAAATCAGCGCCGCTGTTGCCCCAGGGGACATCCGGGGCAGCCTAGGAGGCGTCCAAGAAAGCTCCGAGGCCCCTCAGAGGGGGCCGAGTCCCCGAGACGGCCCCGCGAGGGGCCCAAAGGGAATTCGAGAACGGACCCCAGGAGCACTGTGAGGAAGTCCACCCCGTCCCCTCCCCCCTACAAAATGTGAGGGAATCCACCCCCTCCCTCCCTCTAAAAAAAACCTGAGGAGTACCAGGGACCCCCAAAGGCCGTCCCCGCAGGCTTGAAGGGGCGTGGTGGGGTTCCGCGACCCGTTCCTCGCCAAGGTGAGCGGCAAGCGAGGCGGTCCCCAAGGCGACCGCAAGAGGACCCCAAGGTGGCCACCAGAGCCCCCCCTCGAGGCAGCTTCCAAGAGGCCCCCCACGGCCGCCGAGGAGTCCCAGACATGGTTCCGAAGAGCCCTCCACGGGGACTCTCCATGAGCATAGCTGAGAAAGCTCCGTTGGATTCGCCTGGTCCCGTGGTGCCCCTTCATCCACAACCAGAGCACTGCGGCGGGAACGACCGAAAGCCGCTGAATACATTCGCACGGCGCTTGCGTGGAGTTGTGATCCGAGGATTCGCACTGGCGCTTGCGAACGATTTCGCTCGCCTGCTGATGGGGGTCAAACTTTTGGGGGGGGGGCAGAAGCAGCGACGGGCAATCTGAGGTAACAGCTGTGTGAGAAACAGTTTGGCCCGGGCAAAGAACTTACTTTGCTTCGAGCAATCCCCACCGAAATCTGAAGCGTTTCTTCCCGATGGCGCGCAGTCGCCTAATTGGTCGACAACTGCCGCTTCTGGATTCAAGAAACGGTCCAACCGTGTTCCATGCAGTCGCGTTATTTACTGCTGTGCTCTACTATGTCCTGTTATGTTCTCGACGGGCCGACGTGACGTCGTGACGCCTGTGATGTTAGATGCGTCGTCGATTAAGTTGATGTGTGGTGTTATGAACATGTCGGTCACCACATAATGTGAAATGTTATTGTGTGACGTGCTTTGAAGCACTATGTTATACCATGATATGGTATGCCAATGTATGTATTGATATGATTTGTTATGTAATGTCGTTGCCAGCTCGGCCCAGCATGGTATAGTATGATGCGCGTTGCAATACGTTTCGATGTGTTTTGTTGTCGAGTGTTGGTATGCTATGTGCCGCAGTCATGATATGACATGGTGTATGCTGCCATGGTGCGTTCTGCTGAGTTTGGTTATGTTCGGTTATGGTTTGTCGTGTTCTGTTGTTGTATGTTATGTGATGCTATGTTGGTTGGCGGCTCGGCGCTGCTTCGATTCGTAACTTCCCCCGGGGATTACCAAGTGCGGTCTCCGCGCCCCTCTCCACAATTAAATCCGAGTGACACGGGGTAAGAAATAGAGGGGTTAAGGGGGGGTCTGATTTATTATCGGGGGCACGGGGTTCGGTTAGCTGAGTCGCTGCTTTTGGCGGCCCGCCCGGGTGCCCGGGAGCTGCGTCGCCGATTTCGGCGGCCCGCCCAGGTGCCCGGGTGCCCGGGTGCCCCATAGCCCTATAGCCCGATAGCCCTATATTTCAATAGCCTAATAGCTCAATAACCCTACAGCCCTATAGTCCTGTAGCCCTCTAGCCCTCTAGCTCTCAGCGCCCTGTAGTGCCCTATAGCCCTATGGCCCAATAGCCCTATCGCCTCATAGCACTATAACCCTATAGCCTTATGGCCCTATAGCCCTAGCACTATAGCCCACCAGGCCACTAGCCCTAGCCCCATGGCCCTACAGCCCTATAATCCCGATTGGGGTTTCCCTCCGGTATCATTACGTTATGTTTGTGTTGCCGTCTTCTGCTATGTCATGCTGAGATATGGTATGGTATGTGTTGTTATGTTATGATCCATGTTGTCATGATGCTGCTGCGTTATGTCATGATCGTGTTCTGCTCTGTCATGTTGTATTGTGTCATGTTTTGTTATGTCGTCTTCGTCATCGCTATGCTTTGTCGTGAAATGGCAATTCCTGTGATGCTGCGTCATGGTATGATCAGTTGTGCCAAGATGTGTTATGGTATGATCGGTTATGTTATGCCATGTTGTCTTATGGAATGGTAGTTCGCCTTCTGTTATGTCATGTTCCGCTCTGGTATGTGATGTGGTGTTCTGACATGCTATACTTAACCATGCTATTGATATGCTATGTTGTGTCATGTTATGTCATGCTCTGTTCCGTTCTGTCATGTTCTATTCTGTCATGTTGTGTTGTGTCGTGTTCGTCGAGGGCGCGAGGCGGGACACCCGCGACTCTCGGGGATTATCGGGACAACTTGGGGTCTGGCGGCCGCGGTATGCAGGGTGGGGTTGGCCGGGCGCGAGGCGGGACACCCGGGACTCTCGGGGATCATGGGGCCAAGTTGGGGTCTGGCAGCCGCGGTATGCAAGGTGGGATTGGCCGGGCGCGAGGCGGGACACCCGGGACTCTCGGGGGTCATGGGGCCAACGTGGGGTCGTGCGGCCGCTGTATGCAGGGTGGGGTTGGCCGGGCGCGAGGCGGGACTCCCGGGACAACTTGGGGTCTGGCGGCCGTGGTATGCAGGGTGGGGTTGGCCGGGAGGCCTGTTCTTGGAATCGTACGAGCCCAACATGTCGGGTGGGGAATAACAAAGTAACTACAGAACAGGAACAACGAAGTAGTCCATTCGTTTGAGACACATGCGGTCCCGAACAAGGAACATCCAAGGAATTGAGCTGACATCTTCCTGACCCCCGAACTCGCCATCGCCCGGACGTCCATTCCCCGTGCACTTTTCGGCTTCGAGCGCGCATGTGTTCCGCATGGTGACCTAAACTGCTCCTCGGTGGCCCTCGCCGAGAAAAAATACACACTTCCGAGCGCTGCCAAGCAACAGGCGGACCCCCGTCAGCAGGCCAAGGGCGGCCCGGCAGGAGCGGCCTCGCAGACCCTCGGGAGCGGGCCGAACCCCGACAGGTCGGGCAGGTCGGCGCTGCCGACCTTGCCGCGCGGCCCAGGCGCACGGCCGAGCGGAGGGCTCGCGCGAGGAGGGCGAGGAGGGCAAGAGAGGAATCTGGACGCCCATGTTCTCCACGTGCTCTGGGGGATCGACGACTCGTCGTGTCTCTGTGTGTTTTTGCTCCCCTCCCGATGCGAGAAGGCTCGGGAAAGGCATCTTTGAACGCCCGAAACGGGTACGGGAAAAATGGGTACAATGCCCAACAACAAATGTTGTCCCAAACCAACAGCGGCCGCTGTTGGGCAGGCGGCCTTCTGTCTCAAGCGGACACAGCCGCGGCGGCGCGGACAGCGAGCCCTGTCCAAAATGAACAGGAACTGCTGTTGGGGTCATTGTGCCCATTCTGTCCGAAATTATCCATTTCGTTCGTGCCGAAGGAAGGGCCCTTGGATCTTCCTTGCTGCTGGCAGCTGTGGCCGGCGCCTCCGCCGCCCGGCACCACCCGAGGTGCCCCCTCGTGCTCGTGGCCCGGCTGCGAGCGCGACGGGGCGGGCGGGCGGCGGCCCTCTTAGCCCGACGAGACGAGCTCTCGCCCCGCGGCTCCCTATAGGAGAGGGAGGGCCGCTTCGTCCTGGGCTCCGGGAGGGGATCGAGGCACGTGTGCACCACGGCGTGCGGTCGGCCAGGGAGCTCGGCGTACAGACTCCCAAGCTGCCCAAGTTCGTGGGGCGCTGGGGCGTCTATGCACCGAGCTTCGTCGCCGAGCTGCCTGGCTCCCTCGGCCGACCCAACGACGTGGTGTGCACGGCGAAGCCCTCAGATGCTCCAGCGCTCATCGAAAGCCACGGCCCGTGCGGGGAGGCGGCGGTGCGCTTCTGGAGGAGGGGGGGGCCGCGTGCAGAGGGGAGGAGACGAGGAGTCCGAAACTGGCGCCCCCCCTCCGACCCTCCCCTCCAGTCCACCCCCTCCTCCACATCTCACCTCTCCGTCGATGACCAGGGAACCGCGTCGAGCCACCGACGACGATGGGCAGCTCGTAAACAGTGGCTCTGGACACACGGGCATGGGGGGGGGCAAGGAGGGGAAATCGCAGGGGAGAGAAAGGGGGGGAAGTGGTGGGAAAGACGGCCGGAGGGAAACAGGGAGAGAGACAAGCGAGAACACCCTCGTCCACATGCAAGGGGGAGGCAGAGTGGGAATGAAGTGAACTGGGAGGGGGCAGGATGAGGATCAGGATGAAGAGGAGGAGGAGGAGGAGGAGGAAAAGGACCGACAAGAACAGGAGCAGCACGAAGACGAACAAAGCAAACGCCCTCTCGCCACAACTCATTAGCCGAGAAGGGGCCGGGCAAATCCGATGATGAAGATGATGAGTCGGGGAGACAGGGCAGAAAGAGGATGCAGAGAAAGAGTGGGAAAACGAGTACGAGAAGGGTGAGGATACAGTGGAAGACGACGACGACGACGACGTTCTCATGGCACGCAAACCTACACTCGACCTCATCGTATGTCGGCATTGGTGGCGATGGGCACCGAGAACAATACAAGGCTGCGCATCGGGTGTTGCTAGAAGTGCCCCTGGCCCAAGGTGCCTCCAGGACTTCCGAGGAGGCCCCCACAGCCTACAGAGCACCCCTCACGAGGACCAGGGGGCCCGAGGGGGTCGAGACTGAGCGAACAGCTGGGAGTACCTCGGGCCAGGGGCACCTTTAGCAACCCCCGAAACTAAAGGGTACAATCGCGGCCCCAGGCAGGGGGAGCGAAGTCTCAAGGGACAGATGGAAGAGGATGACTCACGATTAGACGTGGCAAGCGATGACGATTGACGCAATGTGCTCCTGAGACAGGGCCCTGAGACAGTGCCGCAATGCCGACGAGGTTGATCCGCTTGCTCGGAAAACAGCTTCAGGGGATCAGCGCCAAGCCCACTGGAAGCGACCATGGTGCAACGCACGTACTGTACAAGCGCGTTATCCGCGTCGCACTCGAATTTAGCGCGACCTCCTCTGCTGCGCGTCGCTCGGAAGGATCTTCCACCCAATCATCAAGGCGCTGCTCAGCACGCAGGTAACTGGCCGCGCCCACGCATGAGGGCAACCTTTCAGCATCGCGAGCGGCTCGCATTCCCTGCTCCCCCAATCACCTTCCTGGATCTTGGGATTTTAAATGGCGACCTTCGTCGCGAAGGTCTCCCCAACGAGAACAACGGCAATGCCGCTTCATATGCTGCACGTTGTCTCTTCCGTGCTACTTGCTTCCTCGCGCCTGCTGGAAAATCATCCACTGGCAACGGAGAATGTTCAGAAACATCGTACAGCAATTGGACATCTCCGGCATTCAGGGCAGGTGCCGACTTGACCAACATGGCCCTCTAGACAGCTGCACGCTGGGCTTTGCAGAGGGCGCTTCTTGCAACTCAGGCCAAGGAATGGGCACGCGCGTAAACCCGTGAGCACGGGGCGGCAGGGGGGTCACTCCGCTGCTCACGCCTCCTCTCGTCGATGCCAACCTCTCTCCGCCGCGGCATCGACGTACACGTCCCCTTCCTGGGCCCGAGAGCTCGCGCCGTACCGTTCGCATCAGGAGCTGAAGGAAGAACTGGCGACCAGTGGAGCCGATCCGGAGCTCCAATCGAGAGGGGTCAAGGCCGAAACTGCACTACGCTTAGACGGGGCACGTCCTCCTGCAGGCGGACTCTGGACGAGCATGAAACATGGTCCAGACATCTTCAACAGTAGCCAGCAACATGAAGGCATGATCCCCAGACTATTTGTTCAACTATTTTTGAATTCCCTCCTGTGGAGGGACATGCCCGACGTAACACTACGCAGCGCCGCACCGCCCAGGCCGGTGGAGGGCGCCGATGCCGAAAAACCGGCTGGCGCTGCAGCGAGGCGTCGGCACACCGCACCGAGGAGAGGCTCGGCTACCCTGCGCCAAGGGCCTTCCGAAGGCGTGCTTCGGCCGAGCACCTCCAGCTGGCGCCGCAGGAGATCCAGAAGAAGAAAGAGGAGCATGAGCATGCGCTCCGCGCGGGTTTCTTGAACCTGCGCTGGGCCCCCCCCCCTGGCGCGTGGAGCGCGCCAGAGGCGGCGCCGGAGGCGCCGCCAGGGGGGGCCCAGCGCAGATCCGCCTTTTTTTTCGCCTTCGAAGATCGAACAGCTCTTCAGGATGCTGGTGCCCTCTGGGCACTCGCCGCGAGTCTCACGGACGCGCGCGGCGGCCGCCGCCAGTGCTCAGCACGCACGCGCGGGGTCCACCCGTCCCCCGCACGGCTCGCGTGCTGCGCAGGGAGGGCCCCCTTTGGAGCGCGCGAGGCGAGCGCGACTCGGGGCCCCGTGCACCCAGACACGCCAGGCCAGAACTTCCAACATCCCTCGAAACCAGCTTTTTCCAGACGGCGACACGGGAGCAAAAACTGCACTGCAACATGACCAGGATACACCCAGAAGCAGGCCCTACGAGCCTGGCCCCTGCCCCCCCCGTCCCCTAGACTTGGGCAGATGCCCGAATCGGGCACTGCAGCAAAACCTGCACTGGGCGACCACGTCTGACTCTGCAGGCAAGGGTATCGTGTGGGTAGGAGGTGGTTTCGGCACATCTGCGAATCAGGGACCGTTTCCCCGCCAAGGGCGGTTTAAGGGTGGTTTGGGCGCTGTGGACGGCAGGTGAAGGTTTGTTTTCGTGGTTTAAGGGTGGTTCCGTCTCGGGGCGTCGTGTCGTGTTCTGGTCTCTGGGGCCCCCAACGAGCGCGAGCGACGCACCTCTCCGGCCAGGCCCCGTGCTGGCCGAAAAAGGGGCGAGCTTGCCGACGCCCACCGAGGAAGCCGCCGGCAGGCGCCAGGCGCCTCCCCCGCTCCGTGCCCGACGATCCATTCTGGCCGCACGGCGCCCAGCCGTGGCTGGCGGCGCGTAGACGGGGGTACCGTCGGGGCGTTGACCTTAAGGAACCCTAAATAAGGAACGAAGCACCTTTTTTCCCACAAGTTGAACTTCGATTTCACATCGAACACCTAAGGAAAACCTGAGGCAAGCTGCGAAACACTTAAGGAACGCGGAGCCCCTCCCAACCAAAAGGGTTCCTTCATCAGGGCCCCGACTGTGGGGAAAGGGGGGAGGGCTTCTTAGAAGGAGGCTGCTTCTTAGGAGGCGCGGGTCTTCCGTATACAAGCAAGGCCCGCGCATCGCTTCTAAGAAGCCTCCCCTCTATACCCCTACCCCCCTCTGCGCGTGGCTGACATGGGCCCTCGAAGGCCGCCCAGGTGGGCACAGACGGTGCCGAGGGCGCCTCGACCAAGGTTTCCCCGAGTTGCGCGCACGCTGGTGCTGGCTGGCCTTACTGAGGGGGCCATGGGACACACAAATGAACGGACACAAATCCCAGGATCCCTTATATTTTCTCATAGTTTCTGGACGTTCGTTTTCCCCCCACTTGCCATAGATTCCCATTTTCCTGTGGATTGACGATTCATTATGTCTGTGTGTTTTTCCCCTCCTGACTTACCTTGACCTCAGCGCTGCATTGAAAGCCTTGGCCTGGGCTGAGTGTCCAGGCCACCTGCCTCTGGCTAGGCCGTCGAGGCTCGACTTGCCGGCCTTCCGCAGGACAGAATCGCCAGCTTGCGCTCCGACCAGGAGTGCGAGACGGTGCGAGGAATCAGCAGGGGCGCGGGGAGTGCAGTGCCAGCAGCAGCGCGAGCTGAACACATTGGGCCCGTGACACGAAACACCAGGCCCGAGCATGCTCTGCCACCTGTCCGGGCGAATTCGTTTTGCTTCGGGCGAGCTCCAGCCCTGGATGCCACAGGCGGAGACGCCCTCGAGGAGGACGTGGAGGAGAAGAAGGAGTGAGGAGGAGAAGGAGATGGAGGAGGCTGAGGAAGAGAAGGAGGAGGAGGAGAAGGAGCAAATGAAGGAGGAAGAGGAGGAGGAGGAAGAGGAAGAGGAGGAGGAGCAGGAGGAGGAGGAAGAGGGGAGAGGAGGAAGAAGAAGCAGTGCTTGCCGCCACCGTCTGCCGCCGTTCCGCGCTGGCTGCCGCCGAGTGCGAGGTGCCAGGCCCTCGATCCCTCGGAGGCACGGAGGCACGGCCACTCCCAGAGCACCCCGTACACGACTTTGACTGGGACGTCGGGCCCGCGGTCGCGCAGGCGGGCCCGCACAGATCCCAGCCTCCTGATCTTCCCCCTCCTCCTGCTGCTGCTGCTGCTCCTCCTCCTCCTCCTGGTCTTGTCCTGTTCATTCTCCTTCTCCTCCGCCTCCTCCTTCCCCGAGCTTCTCAACCTCCTCCTCCTCCCCCCCTCTTCACCCTCCTCCGCCTGCCCCGACCTCCTCCCACGACCTCCTTCTCCCTCTCTGCCTCCACCACCGACTTCACTTTCCCCAGACCTCATGGGCCTCCTCCTCCTCGGCCTCCTCCTCATTTTACGTTGCACGGACCTGGCCTCCTCCTCGTCCTCCTCCTCCCCCTCCTCCTCCTCCTCCTCGTCCTCCTCCCCCTGCTCCTCCCCCTCCTCCCCCCTCTCCCTGCTCCTTTGCCTCCCGCTCCGCCTCCTGCTCCGCCTCCTCCTCCTCATTCGCCTCCTGCCCTCCTTCGCCTCCGCCGCCCTTTGCCGCCGCCCTCACTGCCCAGCGCCGCACCGACTCCCTCCGCGGAGGGCGGGCCGCGGCGAGGATCGCGCGCCGTGCGGGGCGCTGGCGATGGGGGGGAGCGCGGATGGGGGCGCTCGCGGGGCCTCCTCGCGCAGGGCGTCCTCGCGCCATGAGCTCGGGGCCACCTCCGCTCCGGGGGCAGGAACGGCGACGACGTCGACAGGAGGAGGAGGAGGAGGAGGAGGAGGAGGAGGAGGAGGAGGAGGAGGAGGAGGAGGAGGAGGAGGAGGAGGGGGAGCAGGCGCAGGAGAGGCAGGAGGAGGAGAGGGAAGATAGGAAGGAGAACGACAGGAGGAGGAGGAGGAGGAGGAGGAGGAGGAAGGAGGCAGCGGGGTCCGTAGCCACTGTTGCCCAACAAGATAAACGAACGAGTTGGCGCGGGTGCTCCATATCTCGACCACGGGTGGCCTGCCCTCGCTGGGCTGAACCTGCATTTTTTGCAATCCGATCGGCACCTATTCACACACGCTCCTCCCGCTCCTTCTCCTTCTTCGACTGATGGCGATTTGGGGGGGGTAGCGCATTGGCACTGCAAGCGTCCTCACCGCCGTGGTTTCTGCTCCTCGGGGACCGCCGCGGCTGTGCGCGGCCAGGGCGCCGAGCGAGACAAGACCGTGGCGGCAAGGGCGAACCGCGTGCAGGGAGTGGTCCCGAGCACACGCCGGTCGGAAGAAGCAGCTAGAAACATGAAGTAGGAAAGCGGACAAAGCAGATTGGGTTCTGCCCCGCCCAAAGAATGACAGATAGCAGCCACACCATACCGGTGATTGAAGTAGGAAGGCGCTTGAAGTAGACTGTGTTCCGGGAATCCCAAAACACATACTTTCAACGATCGACGGGTATCCCCGAAAGATCCAGAGTCACACGAAGCCAATTACCCAGAAAGTGATGTCGGAAAATGACGGCCATCACTACAGCAGATGCGGAGTGCGACGACGAGCGGAGATCCCCTCCATCGGAGAATCCAGCGAAGCAGACGGCCTTGAAGCATGATGTCCAGCACAGGATGAACAGCCGCGCCCTGATGGTAGACGCGACGCAGAGAGCCAGCGAGGAGGCGGACGACATCCTGGCAATGCTTCCCGTGCTCAACATCGCCATCATGCACACGGAGCCGCTGGACCAGCACATGAAGCGCGCGCCAAGACGCCTCAACGTCGTGGAGCGTTTCGTGGCCGATCGTGCCAGGCAGGAGCTCACCGATCAGGAGTGCGACTTGGAGGACGACCCTTACCAGCCTGGAACATGACTTATCCCTATCCCTATGCTGGGCACCTCCTCATCACGGTGCCAATCTTAGGGATTCCCTTATTGTTTGAGGACGAACCCCTAAGATCGTCATCGCCTTCTGGCGTGTCAACCTTAGGGATAGGGATACGTTCGAGGCTGGCAAGACCCGAGGATCAGCGAGGGCCAGACGTCGGCCTCCCCCCGGCGGGGCACGGCACGCGAGGGGACGGCGGCGCGCGCGTGCCTCCACTGGGCCCTGCCGCAGCGCGAGGGGCGGCGGCCCCGGCCGAGAGGCGGGGGCCGCTCCCGGGGGCGAGCCTGTCGCGGGAGCGCGCGGGCTCCGGAGCAGGCAGCGAGCGCGCGTGCCGTGGGCACGGTCGGAGGAGGCGGCTCGTGCTCGCCATCGCTCGGACGTCCATTCCGTGTGTTTTTGTTCGGTTTCGTGCGTGGTTTTTTTCGCCAAATGATCAAGGATGCTCCTCGATGGTCCTCGCCGAAGGAGAAATGCACACGTCCGAGCGATGCCAAGCTGGAGGCGGCTCGTGGGCACTTCCCCGCCGCCCCCCGGGCTCAGAGTTGGCACGCGCGGGGGGGAGGACTGCGGTCGAGGTGCAACTCGTTCAACCCACCGCCAGCGTTGATCACGGGTGTGGGGGGGGGGCATTGGCCGACGAATGCGGCATGGGTGTTCGCTACTTTCTTCAGAGGCCTGTAGCGGGCCCGAGAAGGTGGCGCATGCCGGGGCGCACTTCCAAACCCACGGACGGAACGGGCACCACGCCAGTAGCACTTCTCCGTCGGGCTCGAGGGACGGAGGGGTCCATCAGAGGCATGAGCCACTGAGAAAGCATGAAAGGCAGGAGGACGAAGACGTTCGGCGGCAAGCGAGGGAGGGGAAGTGAGAGGGAGAAGGCCTTCTCAGAAGGCTCGGAAGTCCCGAGCCTTCTGAGAAGCTCTCTTCAGCGACGATCTAGGCCAGCATCATAAGCAGAATTCGGTGACGCTCCACTCAATTCAGGTAGCATCGTTTGGTTCAGACCTCCAGTCGGAGTCGAGCATCATCGGGGCATCGCAGGACCTAGCAGTGAGCTGTAACACTATGATGGCCCTAGTTTCATCTTCAGATTGAACGCGCGCCACCTTCGCAAACGTAGAGCGCGTGAACTCCAAGAAGGGCGTCTCCCATCCTGCTCATCACTCTCGTTTCTGTTTCTCGGGTCAGTGGGTGGATATTTCCAGCACTTCGGCTCAGCCCAGTAACGTTGGCTTCGTTACTCCCAGCGGGCACTGACAGCCTGGCGATGGGTGGTTGGATACATCCAGCGAGCAGTGGCATGAACTGTAGTGGGCAGGCGGCAATCTTGGGATGGACATTTACACAGACGATGTGTGCAAGTCCTGTCCGTCTTCCACCCACTCTAGTTATATCGAGTTCTGCATAGAAATCGATTAGCACGCTGCGCGGAGGAGAGTTCGCCAAACCATGTTGGCGATCTGTGCACCAACGTGCCGTCGTTAACGCATGATGCCAAACAGCTGCCCTGAGAATCCGTGATGAAGGAAGTCAGTCGGCAACTTCCCATGCGGCAGCGAATCGTGCAGGACTTGTGTTTCGTGCGCGTTCGCTTGCTATCCCTACACCCTCACCGACCCTGCACTCAGAATCGAGCGGCGTGCTCCGCTCTGAAACGATAGCCTCCCCACGCTGACTGTATCAGGCACTGTGTTTCCAGAGGAGCTCTTGTCGAGGGCGTCTGGCGCCCGTAGTTCGTACAGGCGGCAACTGAGCGACGCAACAAAACGGGTCTCACGCACGATGGTATGGCGACTTTACGCTGCGGCTTGCGCGGGCCGCCAACGCGGCCCACCGCGTGGAGATGAGGGCGCTTACGCGCGACCCTGACGCTGGCAGGCAGGCCGCCGGCGGCCGCTGGCAGGCCGCTGGCGGCCGAACGGGGGATCGGCCGTTGCATGCGATGCGCACCAAGCCATCACTGGGATATGCGGAATGCTGGGCGAGGGCCACACAGGGAGCATGGGGCGAAGAGGAGGAGCAAGGAGGGGTCCTGGCGCAGCTAGCTACGGCTGGCCTCAGTAGGCGACAGCGCCGGACATGATCGCGGTGTCCCTCTGAGTGGCCCTGCCACCACCCCGTAAGACACCACCAATTCACAAATCGTCCAGAAGGTAACGACGTGATTGACTCCGTCGCGTTGGGCACCATGGTAGTTCCCGACCCCGCGGGGCTGGGTAGCGACGCGCGATCGAATCCTTCGTAGAGGCCATCGTCGTAGCGCACGAGTTCACACTGATGGATGCCAGCGAGAAAATCGAAACTAGAATGGTTGTCAACCTGGTGGCGCTCGATGCCGCATGGGCGGAAATCGCCGTGGTGCCAAACTCCTTGGTTGATGCAAATGGTGTTCATGACCGTAGTGCTGGTCACCGACGTGGTCCTCGACTCTGTCGCGGGCAACGTGGTCGCGCACCGTGTCATAGTGGTGGGTGGCGACGTGGTGCTCAACATCATTGTGGCGGACAAGGGGGGGACCCGTCGGGGCACCCGTGACGCATTAGTGGTCAACTCGACACATGCATGCCGTCGTGGTGCTCACCTCCGTCGTGGTGGGCGGTGGCCAGCATGGAAACGCTCGATGCCAGCGTAATTCAAACCAGCGTGGTGGTCATCGCTGTCGTGTTGGACAATTTGGTAGCATCCGATGCCGCAGAGCGGGGATGTAGAGCGTGGTGCAAACCGTAATAGTGGTTGACTGCGTCGAGCTGGAGTCGGAGCCGGCATCGGGGACGGAGTCAGAGCAGGAAAATGAGCTGGCGTCGAAGCAGAGTTGGGAGGGGAGTCGGAGTTTGAGTCCGAGCCCGCGCAGGAGTTTGGGCTGGGGCTGGAACCAATGCTGGAGACGACCCCGAGCAAGAGTCGGAGCCGGTCCCAGTGCCAGCGTCTTCTAGGTGGTCTGCGCGGCTCAGGTATGTTTTGGCGGGTGTCGCAGTCGGCAATCACCTACTATTATTGGCATTGCTTCAGGTTGCTGTGTCGCCTCATGTGGCGCATAGTCCTGTCACTATTAGGGTTCACCCGGTGCACACACGGGGGAGAGTCCCGAGGGGGAGGGGAAAGAGGTAGCAGTATAATAGAGCATACCAACATACGGCTGCAACCACTCTCAGAGCCAGGGGGCGGAACCGCCGACTCCCGCCATTGCCATTGGACCGGTGCCCCAACGGGCATACTACCGGCCAAAGCATTGGTTTGGGATTCCCCAGCTGCGAACCAGAACATCATAGATACCAAGGTCAGCTGGTGAGATTCCGACGGCGTCGCTCTCTGGACCAGGCCGATAGATCGCCCATCGAACCGAGCTATATCCTGAGCGGCGTCTTGTAGTGTGTGCACACGCCAGCTCGGACAGGCAAACTAGACTTAGGTCGGGCCTCTCCCCCTGCAGGGGGGTTTTGGGCGAACAATAAAAAACTCAAAAGGTACACCCAAAATGTTCGAACGTAGTCAAAAAATAGTCCCTAGGCTATTTTTGACTATTTTTGGATATCCCTCCTGTAGAGGGACCGGCCCGACTCAAAGCTGGACGCTGCTGTGCTGACTCGGCGTAATTATTCGGCATCCTGTTCCACAGGTTCGCCACGTCGCCGTCGGCAACACGTCCCTGCTGGACGATCCGGCGGCCCTCGTGGCCGACTTCGCGATGCCAGAGGCCTTGGTGGTGAGGGCCCGACCGTCTGCGACCAAGTCGTCTTGCCGTTGGTGGTGGGGCAAGGAGGAGGAGGAGGAGGAGGAGGAGGAGGGGGAGGAGGAGGAGGAGGAGCCCAGCGTACAGAGGGAAGGAGTCTTCCGCCCAAGCCCACGAAGCCGAAGAATTTG